AGAGTGAGCAAGCAGGAGAGGAGCAGGGAAAAAGGGTAGACAGAATCTGAAACAGCTCCAGGCTCTGAGGGGTCAGCACAGAGCCCTAGGTGGGGCTCAAACTCCCAAACCTCAAGATCATGGCCTGACCCGAAGTTGGATGCTTAACCTACTAAGCCACCCAGGCGCCCCAGGAATTAACTATATTTAAGCTGAATTTGTATCTAATTGCACTCAAAGCAGTAATTGAGCAAGCATGGCATACTGGGTAAAATCTGGAGCTTAACAGTAAAAAGTTTAACTACAGTTATGCCATAAAGGCTCTAGCAAAGGGGCACCTGGGTGGCTCAGTTGGTTAAAAGTGTCCAACTTTGGCTCAGGTCATGATCTCACTGTTGGTGAGTTTGAGTCCTGCATCAGGGTTGCTGCTGTCAGCTTGGATCCTGGAGCCTGCTTCAGATTCTGTGTCTCCTCCTTTCTCTGCCCCTCCCCTGCTCATGCTCTGTTGGTCTCTCTCTCTTGAAAATAAATAAACATTAAAAAAAGAAAGAAATGAAAGGCTCCAGCATATACCTAACACCAATGGAGTGGTTTTATACCCACATATTAAGTTCTCAAGATTCTTTTTTTTTTTAATTTTTTTTTTAATGTTTTATTTATTTCTAGGAGAGAGAGAGAGAGAGAGAGCGTGAGCAGGGGAGGGTCAGAGAGAGAGGGAGTCACAGATTGAAACAGGCTCCAGGCTCTGAGCCGGCAGTCAGCACAGAGCCCGACGCGGGGCTCGAACCCACGAACCGCGAGATCATGACCTAAGCGAAAGTCGGACACTTAACCGACTAAGCCACCCAGGCGCCCCTTAAGTTCTCAAGATTCTTAATGCCCAGATGAGGAAGGTAAACTTTTTCTTTAGGAACCAAGAAACTGCTTGTTGAAAAGTGGGACAAAATCTTATTTATGATCTTTAGATTTTTCTGGCTTTCAATGTTAGTTAAACCCTTTAGATAATAACTTAGTCATCTCAAATGTATACAGAATTTTCACAATGCCCCAAAAAAGGCAACAAAGAAAATAATTTTATAATATAAATTATGTACTGATTTAATAATTCATTGTCCCAAATCTAATCTTATAAATGTGGAAAAGGCAAAAAGCAAATGCTAGTGCTATGAGAAAAGCCTGTGGTTTTCTTAGGTGTCTGTGACAACCCCAGAATATAAATGTGTCCTGGGATTTTTACTACATTCATAGTTCAAGCTAGCAACTAAAAACAAACAAACACACAAACTTGTGCTGTTGTATCTCATAAACACCCGACCCTCACCAGCTGCTGTCCAATGTAACTATTTTGAATCAAACCAGTAGAAAAATAATAACTTGTACTACCTCATAAATAAAGACCTTCACCAGCTGCTCTTCAACGTAACTATTCTGAATCAAACAAGTAGGAATCAAAGTCAACGTGACTTTATGCAGTTATTCACTTTCCTTTTCTGAAGATCTTAAAAAATTGAAGGAAGAAGGTAACGTCAGACTCATTCTTCTAAAGGAGTCCTTCTGAAATGGAGTAATTAAAGCAGTAACAATCCGAAAATATCAAGAACAATGCATGGTTATGTGAGCATTACTTCTCCTTTAATAATTCTGAGCTTTTGCCAGGAAAAGAGAACAATGTGCACATGTCTTCACTTCCTTTCCTCTGTACCTTCATCCTCAGCTCACTCTCCTATTTACCTCTGCAGATACAAGTTGTTCCCCTGCTCTCCGGGAATCACTGGGGAGGTCCTGTTTCATTTCCACCACAGCCCTTCCTCCCTTCCTTCCTTGTCTCCCCAGTTTAAAATTCAACAGGCCCGGGGCGCCTGGGTGGCTTAGTCGGTTAGGCGTCAGGCTTTCGCTTAGGTCATGATCTCGCGGTTCGTGGGTTCGAGCCCCGCGTCGGGCTCTGTGCTGACTGCCAGCTCAGAGCCTGGAGCCTGTTTCAGTCTGTGACTCCCTCTCTCTCTCTGACCCTCCCTTGCTCACACTGTCTCTCTCTATCCTAGAAATAAATAAAAATATTAAAAAAAAAATTCAACAGGCCCTCTGTTTTTGCTGCTACTTGATGGAGTACAAGGCCATGTTGTCTGGTGGCCACAGGGCCTTAGCCTCAGTGAAATTTGAAGAGACTGAGCATGCTCAGGGAAATCCAAGTTTTGGGTTAGTTTACGGCTTCATGCTGCCTTGGCCTTTTAGAAACGGTCTAGATCACAGAAGGTCACACAGAGCCCTAGTAGAATCAAGGTGTTTTAACACATTTAATGTTACTCCTGTATTAATTATTGTGAAACACTAATACAATCTAAAACAAAGCAAGTGAGCAAACCCTGGCAATACCTATTAACTATTTACTACAGTGTTATCTAAACAAGGTCTGTTATCCCCTTAACATTATCTGACCGGTAACCCCCAGGCAGTCTCTCTCAGTTTCCCATTAAAATGTCTACAGACAGAGGGAAAACAATGGAATTTTATAACATTGGGTGAAAGCCAGCTATGGACAGTGAGGCATGATCATAATTCTGACTCCAAGTGCCTTAAATACTTCTTTTAAAGACTGAAGTCTAAGATAAAAGCATAAATTAGGACCAGTTTAATAAATTAACTGGGGCTTCTAAATCAAAAGCATGTTATTTGTTCTGTGCTGAACACTCATTCTCCCTGTAGTGTATCAATAATTAATACAGAAACATTTCCATCTTTTCATTCTGTGCCAAGCTCTCCCAGTGAGAATCTTTCTATCTTTACATGAAAAGTTTCTCTTGGCCTAATTGAGGTAACATTTGGAATGGAAGATATTAAGGGCTTTGAGTTTTAATTATCTATTTTTTATTAAGCTACAAAAAAAAAAAAACCCTCTAACCTCCATTTTAGATTTGCCTTAATTTTAAAATTGCACAGTACCTTATTGATTTCCTCTCTTTCTTCTCAGGCATATACTTAAAAATAAACTAATTATGCCATTTATCTACTTAAGATATTATTTGCAATTAAACATCTCAGTTTAATCGGAAATAAATGACAATGATAATGACTCGATAATTATACAGCACATTTTACTCTTAGATATTTAATGTTTTTTTTTTAAAAAAGAGAAATCTAAGCTCACATTAATTTCATTTGAGAGGAGAATCTGATTATTTAGGAAAACAGAGTTATTTACTGAAGTTAGTGCACAAAAAACAATGAGTGAGGAAGTCCGGCCATGGGATGTTCCTATCTGATGTTGTAAGTCGGTGAAAGCTGGTTGCCTTTTCCCTAATTCCATCTGTGAGTGTTGCTGAATTGCTGTGGGCATTTCATGAACACAGTTTAAAGTTCTGAAGAGAATAGTACTTAACAACTAACCACGGTAAAGCGGGGCAAAGGTAATCATCCTTAGTTTTACTTTATGGATAGGAAAGCAAGTGGCCAAAATGCATTTAATTGAATCAAATTTTTAGAAGAGCCAAAAAAAAAGAAAACTTATTTTACTCTCTTGCTGAAAATACAGTCACAGTCCCTTTTCTCTCCTTCAACTCTCTACACTGTCAACCATTTTTTAAAGGTTATTTATTTTGAGAGAGAAGGAGAGAGAGAATCCCAAGCAGTCTCCACAATGCAACATGTTACATTTTTACTCCGATCAGGATGCCATTTTCAGCAATTATAGCCAAAAGAAATATGAGCTCACAACCATCACTTCATGTTCAAGGTCCCCGGCCTTGAAGATTCTCAACCATTTGACACCAGTCTCTGTTTCTCAAACTGCGAAGTAGTCCCTGACTGCCTCCCTCCACCCCCACAGTGTTTCACACATTCCCATAGCATTAATTATTCTGTTAAATATTTCAGAGCCTTCCTCCCTCCCGACTGCTTCTGGGAAGCTCTTGTTGACCCTTCGCAGGGAAGACGATGCTGTGTATACAAGGTTCTCTCAAGTCCCATTATTGAACTTCTTGTCATTTATCCAGCTTACCCATATGACTCTTACATGACATTATTATGTACTATTAGTGGTGTGTGTGTGTGTGTGTGTGTGTGTGTGTGTGAGGGTGAGAGAGAGAGAGAGAGAGAGAGAGAGATCACCAATTAGAAGCCTTCCTTACACTTTAGTATCTTTTTAAAAGTTTTTTTTAACATTTATTTATATTTGAGAGACAGACACAGAGTGTGAGCCAGGGAGGGGCAGAGAGAGAGGAAGACCCAGAATCCGAAGCAGGTTCCAGGCTCTGAGCTGTCAGCACAGAGCTCGACATGGGGCCTGAACCCACAAACCACAAGATCATGACCTGAGTTGAAGTCATGATACTTACCTGAGTGAGCCACCCATGCGCCCCATACACTTTACTATCTTTTGCACCCAGCTGAGTGTTTCACACACAAGCAGTTGATAAATACTTGATGATTAGCAAATTTAGGGCTCATAAAAAATGTCCTTTTTCTACTTTTATCAAAAGGCTTCTGGAGCATTACAGGGCACTACAGTGAACTTAATATTTGCAGATGAATCCATGTGGGTGGCCCTTCAATCAGGGAAGCACATGTTGGTCTACACTGATATTTGATGTGGCTCAGTGCGCTTGACATTCAGAATTACCGAAATGGGGTACATCACCTATTGTGATGACAAATGTCAGCTCTGTTGTCAGTGAGGCAGACTAGCTGAGGCAGCTGAGTCCTCCAGCAGGTGAACCACGACTGTAAAATTCCTGATTCTGAGTTATCTAAGAAAGGAACTTTTCTGAATTTTCATAAGCTACACCAATAAGCATTCAGAGTGTGTGTACCCAAGTATAGAGGGCTTATGTGAAGAGGGCAGTGTTACTTAAAGCAGCAACACCACAAGTAAAAATCACATACTCAAAAGTCTCACATTAGCATTTGATTAAACCAAGGTCTGTTAACAATGGCGTCTGAGCCGAGTTTGGCCTGCTAGGCAGCTTTGTATGGTTTATGGGCAAAGAATGTCTTCTACATTTTTATTTATTGATTTTTTTAGAGAAACCACTCAGACAGTGCACCCCTTTCCTCTTAGCCTCCTAAGAAAGGAGAGAACAATCATCCAGGACAAGGGCAGCTGCAAAAACAACACCCAGAGTCAGCTTCACGCTCAGGAAGGGACGCTGTACCTCCTCCTCATGGTTTCCGGTACTCCACACTTGAGAGACACTTTTCAAGTAATGAACAAGAGAAACAATCCCTGAACATATAGTCTTTATATTTTTCTTTTTTTTAATAGTTTACTGTCAAGTTGGTTTCCATATAACACCCGCTGCTCATCCCCACAAGTGCCCTCCTCCATGCCCATCACCCCCCTTTCTCCCCCCATTCCCATCAGTCCTCAGTTTGTTCTCAGCATTCAAGAGTCTCTCATAGTTTGCCTCCCTCCCTCTTCCCCTTCTTCTCCCCCATGGTCCTCCATTAAGTTCCTCCTAATCCTATACATGCAAATATATGGTATTTGTCCTTCTCTGCCTGACTTATTTCACTCAGCATAACATCCTCAGTTCCATCCATGTTGCTACACACATGGCCAGATTCAATCCTTATCATTGCCATGCAGTATTCCATTGTATAGATAAAGTACATCTTCTTGATCCATTCATCAGTTAATGGACACTTAGGCTCTTTCCATGTTTTGGCTATTGTTGAGAGTGCTGCTATGAACATTGGGGTACATGTGCCCCTATGCATCAGCTGTCCTGTATCCCTTGGGTAAATTCCTAGCAGTGCTACTGCTGGGTCATAGGGGAGGTTCTACTGTTCATTTTTTGAGGAACCTCCACACTGTTTTCCAGAGGGGTTGCACCAGTCCACATTCCCACCAACAGTGTAGGAGGGTGTCCGTTTCTCCACATCCTCGCCAGCATCTAAAGTCCTCTGATTTGCTCATTTTAGCCACTCTGACCGGCATGAGGTGGTATCTCAGCGTGGTTTTGATTTGTATTTTCCTGATGAGGAGGGAAGCTGAGCATCGTTTCATGTGTCTGTTGGCCATCTGGATGTCTTCTTTGGAGAAGTGTCTGTTCATGTCTTCTGCCCATTTCTTCACTGGATTATTTATTTTTCAGGTGGGGAGTTTGGTGAGTTCCTTACAGATTGTGGATACTAGCCCTTTATATGATATGTCATTTGCAACTATCTTTTCCCATTCCATTGGTTGCCTATCAGTTTTATGGATTGTTTCCTTTGCCATGCAGAAGCTTTTGATCTTGATGAGGTCCCAATAGTTCACTTCTGCTCTTGATTCCCTGCCTTTGGGGATGTGTCAAGTAAGAAGTTGCTGCGGTGGAGGTCAAGGAGGTTGTTTCCTGCTTTCTCCTCTAGGGTTTTGATGGTTTCCTGTCTCACATTCAGGTCCTTGATCCATTTTGAGTTTATTTTTGTGTATGGTGTGAGAAATGATCTAGTTTCATTCTTCTGCATGTTGTTGTCCAGTTCTCCCAGCACCATCTGTTAAAGAGGCTGTCTTTTTTCCATTGGATATTCTTTCCTGCTTTGTCAAAGATTAGTTGGCTGTATACTTTTGGGTCCACTTCTGAATTCTCAATTCTGTTCCATTGGTCTATGTGTCTGTTTTTGTGCCAATACCATACTGTCTTGATGACGACAGCTTTGTAGTAGAGGCTGAAGTCTGGGATGGTGATACCTCCCGTTTTGGTTTTATTTTTCAGTATTACTTTGGCTGTTTGGGGTCTTTTGTGGTTCCATACAAATTTTAGGATAGTTTGTTCTAGTTTTGAGAAGTATGCTCGTACAATTTTGATTGGGATTGCATTGAATGTGTAGATTGCTTTGGGCAGTAATGACATTTTAACTATATTTATTCTTCCAATCTATGATCATGGAATAATGTTTTTCCATTTCTTGTGTCTTCTTCAATTTCCTTCATAAGTTTTCTATAGTTTTCATCATACGGATCTCTTCTATCTTTGGTTGGGTTTATTCCTAGGTATGTTTTTGTGTGTGTGTGTGTGCAATTGTGAATGGGATCAGTTTCTTGATTTCTCTTTCTGTTGCTTCATTGTTGGTGCATAAAATTGCAACCGATTTCTGTATGTTGATTTTGTACTCTGCAACTTTGCTGAACTCTTGGATCAGTTCTAGTAGGCTTCTGGTGGAGTCTGTGGGGTTTTCTATGTAGAGTATCATGTTGTCTGCAAAAAGTGAAAGTTTGACTTCTTCTTTGCCACTTCTGATGCCTTTCATTTCCTTTTGTTGTCTGATGGCTGATGCTAGGACTTCCAGCACTATGTTAAACAACAGTGGTGAGAGTGGACATCCCTGTCGTGTTCCTCATCTCAGGGGGAAAGCTCTCAATTCTTCCCCGTTGAAGATGAAGTTATAATCTTTACATTTTTCAATCGTTGAAAAAATCATGGTCCTACCAACACAATTCTATCTAAAATTCCCTCCCTTGGTATGTCCTTAAATATTAAAAAGATTAGCATCAAGGGAAAAGAATGAAGATATAACACGAACCCGAGAATTCAGCAACTGTGTAATTCATTACTGGATTATCAACAGTTGGATTTTTTTTTAGTTTAATAATAGGAGAAAAAAACTTCTTATCCCAGAAATTAGTTACACTATAGGTCTGTGGTTTGGAATGTTAAATTATCCATTTAAAATGGTAAGTCAATTTATATTTCTCAGAAGCAATTATGACTTAATTGCTATTATCAACCTAATAAATTACTAGGTGATTTCCACAAACTGGTTCTACACTCAAATTTCATGTCTGATGAAAGAATAATTGTATCAATATTCTGCAAATATGAAAAGGAAATTGGCTCATTGGCCACAAGGGAAATGCATACACCTTGAGTGTAAACTCATCTATCTTTTTCTGTCTATTTTTAAGCAGGCAAATTAAAATGGGAAAGAAACAGTTTGTGTCTCACAGGAATAATGTGCAATATGTTAATTGCTTTTCAAATAACATAGCATAGCTTGAAAAATATTCTTTGTGCCTAATGAGAATGTCATGTACTCTTGTGAACTCTGTATTTTGATGTACATCTATTGGCAACAAGTTAAATTACAAAGTTTCCTTTTATAACACAAGAAAATAGATACCTGAAAAGGGTTAACCCAATCCAGAAGATAATGAATGCCCCCTGGAACATAACAATGGTCATGAAGACATGGAATATCTATCATAGAGAATGTAGCATATGGCAACAGTCCAGAAAGCTAAGAAGAAATTGTAAGTAGATAAGTTGTAGCCAATAAGATCAAAACAGCCAGCGAGCATCTTCAGTTAGGAATCCATTAAAGAAACATTTGTGTCATGTCTATGTGCGAACTGTGCAGATGAAAATATAAATGAGACTTTGTTTTTAATCTCCTGATGCTCACTTTCAGAAACAAAGAAACCAGAGACATAGTAATATATTTAATATTAATATGCAGCAAGTATAATACTAACATAGAAGTAATAGTGGTTTCATTATTTGGAGAATTAAGTTTCAAAAACTAAGCTACTCAGAGAAGGATGCATATAAATATATTAGGCTAAAAAAAGAGAAGGAAGTTCAGACGGAGAAAATACGATGAGTGGCAACACATAAACAAAATAGCCAATGTACATCTGAGAACTATTATAGTAGAATATAGAATGGAAGGCAAGTAAAAGTAGGATAGGAAATGAGAGAGGTAGTCAGGGCCCTTCTAAAATGATTTGATGTCATGCTAAGAACTTTAAACTTTACCCTGAAGATGGGGTTTTGCTGGTAAATAATGCAAAGCATCTTACTTGAATTTTGGAAAAGCCAGACTGGCAGAGATGATGGAATATAAGGGAAGAAGCTGGGAGTGGGGGTAGGGCAAGCAGCCTGCAATGATCCAGGCAAAATACATGGGCTGGAACTAACCAGTGGTCATAAAGATGAAGGTGAGAGGCCAAAGCAAGAGCTGTAAAAGGAATTGAATTCAGAGAATTTCAAGATAAACTGAGGAGGAGACTGGAGAAGAGTCTCAGCTTTCTGGATTGAATGATCGCATTAAAAAAGATAGTACTTTTAGCAAAAACAAATATAAGAAGAAAATTTAGGCTTGATGGGAGGAAAAAAAAACCTCAATTTCGTATGAGAACTTTTTAGATGCATCAAGTCATCCAAGTTAACATGTCACATACGCAGCTCGGCACAGGTCTGGAGCTCAAGAGAAGTTGGTGCTAGAGAGACAGATGTGGGGTACATGGGATTCCAAGAAAAGAGGCCCTTTAGTAGGAATCAGATGGGGTAAAGGACAGAACTTTAGGGAAAAGCCATACTTAGGTGGCAAGGAAGAAAAGAAAACCAAGGAGACTGAGGCATAATGGTCCAAGAGGCAAGAAAAAAATGAAGCAAAATGAAGTTATTCATGAAAGTCCAAGGGAGCAGGGCCTTGAAGGATGACAAGGGTTACCTCCAAAGTGAAACGTATCCAAGTGGTAGCTTCCCAAGGCAGTTGGCTTGATGACTTTAAGCTCTCTAAAATCTAAGATTCCAAAATTAAATATATATTGATTCTAATCTAAGGGCTAAAGCACATGGCAAGGTCAAAGATTATTCTATTGTTGTAATTATTACATGTCATTTTAAATTATTATTAACAATTTTTCACTGCATCAGTACCTTTTCTCCTTCCTTAAATATAAGTTCTGACAGTGATTACAACTCTGACGAAACTGACTTGACTCATTTTGCCTCATCTGCTATCCCGCAGTTTCTGTCACTCATTCATTCTTTACTTCACAAAAGTTTCTTGAGAGCTAAGTACCAGTCAGCATTAGGCACCAGAATTGAAACTGTTACCAAAAAGTAATTTTTTTAATGGGACACAATTCAAATGCATATGAATTATTACAACACATGAAACCCTTGGACATCTGCTACTTCCTTTAACTGTTCATGAAAAACTCCAGGTGGAAAGCAACGGGTTGGGGTTGCTTCAAAGATTGGAAAGGTCTTGTTACTTTGCAGCAGTCTGCAATCTAAGAAAAGGCAGCTGTGTTAACTTTGTTGGCTGGGTAAGTGCTACTTACTAACAGTGTGTAGTACTGTTAGTTCCTCTTGGTCTGTTCCTTTAGGCTCTCTCAGTGTGTCAATATTGCTATGTACTTCCTGCCACTGAGACTCCTCTAGCTTTTCCCTATAACCCCTTACCCCTCACCCTTGCCAACACCTCAGTGAAAAAATTAGTGTCTTAGCTCCCCCCACCACATATCTGT